AAATGCTGTAAATCCAATTTAGATCCCAAGGCATGACTCTTGTCTGTTGCAACTCTGTGATTTAACCGTACCTCTTTCCTACTCTGGATTTTAGACTATGTTTGTCAGATACAGGTTAATGAGGGAATCTGAAGTGGTTGTTACCATAAGAACTCCAGATTTATTTATTTTTGTCAGTGTGTTTCTGAATTCTGAATTAATTATGGAGTTCAATGACAGATGTGCAGTCTAACTCATACCTCAGAGATAAAACAAACTGTGTTATAGCTAACTGTATGGACTATACTTCAAGTCAGCATACAGATGAGTATAGAATGAAAGCATTAATTTGTTGGCTATTATGAAGCTGTGTTGCCTGGTTATAAGACCAGCATAAGAATCATAACCAAAAGCAGCTGCTGTAACATCATGTTACAGTGCAAAGAATGCCAGGATAATACCTAAAAAACATCAAAGAAGAACTGGCCATCTAGAGAACACCATTGGTCTGTATTGGAACACCTGGTGTGCAAATAAGCTTCTTTACTGTGACAGTATATATTTTTATGAATTTTAAGTGGAATATTTTCAAATCAAATGTGCAATTAAGATGTCTGGTTCAGTTGTTTTCAAATATGTGGAAAAGAAAATACAGCGGAATTCTGACTAATAAACACAGTTGAATACAGGTTGGACTAAGCTAACAACAGTTTTTTGGGAAAAGCAAATATTTTCTCGTTACTTTTTACAATAATTATGAAAAGAATATGCAGAAATGAACTAAGTTTTTCTATTCAAGAAAGGGGATATTGAAATCCAGCCATAACCTGCTTCATCCTAAACTGCATAGCAGAAACTGAAGCAAATAGAAAACTACATGTCATTTTGTGCAGTGAAAACATGATCCAAAATTTCCTGAATACAATAAAAAAACTTCATTCTCATCAACTTCAATGGATTTGTGATCGGGCCCCACTTCTTTCTCTTACGAAGAACTCATTTTTGTTTTTAGAATATAGAGCAGAAATACTGAGAGCATATTCTCTCTGAAAACACTGCAGTGGCTCAGAAAGCTATCTGCATCTTTGGGAAGTTAAATTGACCATGATAATATGTCACTGAATACAATTTGAATCAAACTTGATAATGAGCTTCATGGAGGAATCATTACTTTCTCTGCTCATTAAAAACCGGGATTAAAGTAGTCCAATTAGTGCCCATGCATAAGAGTAAAAAGGAGGAAATCCAAAGATACAGCAGAGGAAAATGTAATAAAAGATTTTTTGTTCTTCTTTAGAGGTTCCTTCATGCATTTGTGAAACAACACATAATTAATCTTCTGCTCTTTCTGAACTATAGGCTTACCTGTTTTTTTTTAAAACTTGTTTCACTTGGCTTCAGGTGACTTTTTAAAGAAAAAATAAGTATCTGTAATTAAATTCCCATCTGCAAATAACATCAGAATTAATTGCGGATTAATGCAATTAGATTGGAACTTTTTCAAAGGACTTTTTTTTTTTTTTTTAAATTATATCCTCTTTAAGGAATTGTCAATATGGTAATGTTTCTTGTGTGGAATAGACAGTAGCAGGAAAAGTGAGATGCTTTGCAATGAAATGCAGTGCTTTCTTGCCGTGATTTGCTTTAGCCATGAAAAAGGTAGGCATGTTATTGGGGCACTTACCACCTTATTCTCAGATTAATAGAGATAGTTGGGTGACTAATTCCATATAGCTTTAAGTAAGGGACTTACAACAACTTTTGGAGGTGTCAAGTATTCACTGCAGGATCCTGAATGACTGTCCTTGACCAGACTCCTAAATTCTAAACAACTTGAACAGCATTAGACATATTCCTGCCTTTTTTTTTTTTTTTGTGGGATTCATCTTGCAGATGTAAAAATTTGCATGTCTACAATTCAGCAAGGTGACTAGCCTTCACAATTTCAAAGATTTGGTCAATCCAGTTGAAAGACCCTCAAGAATTATTTGACATGTCCTGAGATAAATATTTTCATTTTGTCACTTTTGGTATTTTTTACTTGGTCCTAAGTGATCAGTTTTGGCATGGGCCAGGTAACCTACAGAGGTCTCTTCCAACCTCAGCCATTCTGTGATTTAAAGTCTTGTCAGGGATAGGAACAAGAATTGCCCAAGAATTAAAAATATAACTTAAAATTACCCTGCAATATTATTTCCTGGCCTAACTGTTCTGATTTACTATCTGCAATGTTCTAATGCCTAAAGCTGTCAGACCTAGACAAGAACTGTACTGTATTAGTCATTAATATCTGACAAAATGATCTAATTATATGTGCATAATAACACAAGGCTAAACAATCCAGCATTTGGATTGTGGGAATAGGAAGCTAGGACCTTTTCCCAGATTTACTTACACAGAAATTCACTAATGGTCTTTAATTTTCTCTTGGTGCTCCTCTCATTTCATTTGAGCTATCACTTTCTGAGAAAAACTCTGTTTTATTATGGATTTTTTTCTCATGTACTGCAAAGCAATCCAGTCCAAATAATGAAAAATCACTTACCAATCTACTAAGATAGTTTGCTACATCAGAGGAATGCAGATTACTGTGGTGCACTGCTCAGTTTGTATAAAACAGGAAAGTCACTTTTTGTGGCTTGTATGTTTGTTTGTTTGTTTTTCTCAGCCTGTGGCATTACTTAAAGGATTATGCAAGACTGCAGGAAAATGGAGAAAAATATACCAGTTGCAAGCATAAGACTTTCTTCCAGCAGATTAGTAGAGTGAAAATAACCTGGCAGCCTTTTCCAACAGGGAGGCTTGTACACAGTACCAGCTTGATGGCCTGTAGCAATGGCCCATTTCATTCAAGGATATTACCTTAATAGGATCTAAAGGATTGTGAACGAAGTTATAAAACTTGGGTGCTAAATCTATATTTAGGGATGCAAAACAAGCATTCAGAGAGTGGTTGAGGAAACAGCATGAGCATACATCTGTAGCTTGCTAATGAGTGCTTGCTCCTGGGAAGTCCAGCATTGTGGCTTCTTTCAGTCCTGCTCTCCACTCCATGCCCCCAGCCACTGCCTTCTTCCTACCTTGGGAAGGGGCTCTCATACCAAACCACAGGCTGGGGGAACTCAATGCTTTTCTGAGACTGAGGATGGAAAAACGCAAGACCGAGGATAGAGGAGAAAAAGGCTGTTCTGCAGGAGACATTAGGACAAAGTAGAGACTTAAGGGAAAGGCAGAAGATAAGAAGGAAAGCAGTGGCAGACAGGAAAAGATACATCAAACTCAGAGGATGGAAGAATGGCAAGGAAGGACAAATGACAGAGGGGAGAAATCCTGGATTATGTTACTTATTAGAGCCAACATATTTTCAAAGACTGGAAATTTTTTTCTTTAATAAATCTACTGGCATATTTGGATTGGGGTACCTGCAGCCTTCCTGTAGATTTGGCATCCCATTATAGATTAAAAGATAATATCCAGGGAGTACTACAAAATCAAGTATTTGGAGCGGCGAGTTGGTTATACTGGTTTGGACAGCAAGAAATTTAAAGATCCAGGTTGTGAGCTGCATGAGAAGGTGTGAGGAGCCCTCCTTGCTCAGGAAGGAGTTAAGTGATTAACTGATGTTTACTGAGAAAATACCAGGGACAAGTGAAGCTAGACTAATTATGATAGGACAACTTGGGTTTGACTTTACAGGCAAGGAAAGAAATCATTAAAATGGATGTAAAAATAGGGAAACATCCAGTTTCAGGACATTTCAAATTCACATGTCTGGTGCATGAATAGGCAGTGATTGCAGTGATTTAACATGTGACTAAAATGGAGAATCTAGACAGCTGAATGATAGAAGATAAAAACTGAGCTGATAAACCATGTCATACTACATATATTCATAGAGAAACAATTTTTATGATCTCTAAATTGTAAAAAGTTCAGCAAAGAGACCTTAATGACAAACCAAGGACAGAGTTGAGTCGTGCTTCTTGGTGAAAAGATCAGAGATTCTGGAGCAGCTGCCTGCAGGCAGTGACAGAACAACTACCCCATTGGGTGCAAAGTAGGGATGTGGGTGCCTGGGGTGCCAGCAGCCTGCCAGCTCTGGCAGCTCCCAGAGTACTAGCAGTCCCCAAACCAGTGTGATTGTCAGGGAAAACAGCAGACCCTGAAGGAAAAAATTAATACTAATACCCCCCACTTTTACAGATTAGGTACCTTTTTTTAAGATACAGTATGTTCTTCCAGCTAGTTCAGATCTGCTTTACACAATTCATTTTCTTTAACATATTGTTATTTAATTTGCTTTCAGTATAATAAGTAGCTTAAACCACTAAGACATTAACACTATCACCCTTCTAGCCTGTAGATTGATTATTGTTCTTGCATCTATTCATTTAGAAAATGAAATTCAGGAATATTTCATATACCGAAAATTGCAGCATTTCTGAGTTCTCTTCATTAATCTGTGTGAGGTAGAAGTGTCTGCCTTTTTTTAAATTCTATTTCCTATTGTGACATTAGTATATACAGATAGTAAAGAAGGCCATAGTCCCACTGTGATGATCTTCTAGGCAAGTCAAGACTGACCATAGCAGAGCTTACTTGGAAGCTGAAATTTCAAATAAGAAGTACATTCTTTTTTTATACTGTTGTTTTAGGTTATTACTTGATTAACTAAGTTTTCTGCAGACATCAAGGAACAAATAAATGTTAGAGAAGGTCTGAATCAGCTGTGGGAGGTGTCTGAATGAAAGGGAAAGCAAAAAAAAAGCTGAGCATCAGAACACACTTCTAGAAAACAAAGTCTATCAAAGAGTTTTTCAAAGCATTTGAAATTAGGCTTAACTTCTATAAGATTGGTTTTGTACTTTTCTCTGTGCTGACTATAATGTCGCCAAAAGCAAATCAAACCAAAAGACGTCCCCTTGTCATCGTGTCTGCCTCCATGCTGCACTTCTAACATGTCTTGTCTTGATTTTGTTTTCAAGGGCACATCATAGCAATTTCCCAGAATAAAACATACCATGGATGTCTGGGTCAGACAGTTAGCAGTGATGTCTCTGCTCGCTATGGTTGATGCTCATCTGCCGAAGCCGGCACGGGCCCCTCTGGTTCTGCACAGGCCCTTCATGGTTGTTTGGAATGCACCAACGGAGCAGTGCAGGCTGCGGTACAAGGTGGACCTGGATCTCAGTGTTTTTGACATTGCATCCAACATCAATGAGACTTTGAGTGGATCCAATGTGACAATCTTCTACCACACTCATTTGGGATACTATCCTTACTACTCAGATAGCGGAGATCCTGTTAACGGAGGGGTGCCCCAGAATCAAAGTCTTATCAAACACCTTAGTAAAGCAAAGTCTGACATTGACTACTGCATACCCATGAAGAAATTTCAGGGACTTGCAGTCATTGACTGGGAAAACTGGAGGCCCCAGTGGGACAGGAACTGGGGCAATAAAAGCATTTATAGAAATAAGTCTCTTGAGATTGTTTGGAGACGGCATCCTCGGTGGTCAGAAGAGAAAATTAGAAAAGTGGCTAAAGAAGAATTTGAAAATGCTGGCAGGAGTTTTATGAACAACACCATCCTTCTGGCTGAGCATATGAGACCAAATGGTTTGTGGGGTTACTATCTTTACCCAGACTGCTACAATTATGATTACAAAGAACATCCCCAAACATATACGGGGAAGTGCCCACCCATCGAGTCTTTCCGCAATGACCTCCTGCTTTGGCTGTGGAAGCAAAGCACTGCTCTCTACCCTTCTATATACCTGGATTATATACTGAAATCAAGTCCAAATGCACTAAAATTTGTTCACTATCGGGTTAAAGAGGCAATACGTGTTGCCTCAATTGCTCGAAAAGACTACGTTTTGCCTGTGTTTGTTTACTCCAGACCATTTTATGCCTATACTTTTCAAGTTTTAACAGAGGTAAGCAGACAGACTTCTTTAGAAATTGAGAGATTTGAAACTGCCTTTTAGAAAAAATACTTTCTAAAAGATTTTCCTGTATAAAAGCACTTATGCATTTGTTTTTCATATTAAGGCAGTCCCTCTGAAAGGAAGTACTGTAGTCACAGTACAAAACTCTATACCTTTAAAGCATTAATATTGCAGTGGTTCGGTCTACTTCTGTAGGATAGCATTGTATATTTTTAATGAGGGTAATTTAGAAAGAAAGTACAAGGAAATAATTTCCTGAAGGAAGTAATTCATTCTGATATTTTAATTCTTCAGGACAGCTTGTAAAATGAACTTGACAAATTTTGTGAAGTTTAAAACTAATTAGTGTAAAGGAAAGACAAACTTTCATGAGAAAGGACCCTCAGGGTTTTTTGTTTCTTTATGCAAACGTAAAGTCATTCAGTATAGAAATAAACCAGTCAAGTAAAATAGTCTGGCTTGCAGTTCCTAACTCATGCATGATGACCATTGACCATCTATCTCACTTTTCAGAGGAACAACATCTTCATGCCCAACATTTAGTGATAAACTGTGGAGTCCTTTTATTAAAGAAACCAAGTTTTTGAGTCATGCAATATTTCTTCAACCAAAAATCAAATGCAATAAATATATAGTGTCCACAACATTGATGGTAAATTATATACATTCAAATCCCAGACTTTGTGGATATGTCATGACAAGTGTTGCTGTGACTTTGGTTATGCACGTAATTTCTCTAGTAGTTGTCCTGAGTGCCAGAAGTTTTTCTTCATTTGCTATCAATTCCCTGAGAGGGAAGAAAACCTGGGGCAGAGAACTCATGAAAACAACCCCTTGATGATAAGAGCATCTGGGGGTGTTCCCTCCCTTTGTTTTGTGGACAGTTGCAAGAGAGGTCGCTTCTGCTGCTGCCAGAGACAAGTTCTTACTCAAACCAGAACAGAAGACTGCAGAGAAGTGTCAAGAGAAAAGGTAAAAGTTGGTCCAGTGAACCACAAGCTGCATGTGGCTGCATGGAGCTGGAACTGAAGATGTGCAGCAGAGCCCTGAGAGCCTGAGAAGTGTTTCAGGCTGACCCCAGGAAGAAAATGGTAATTTCAGGCTGCCTCTGGGAAGCAAATTATACATAGAAGTAATCATGAATTTCCTCTGTTCATTTTCAGCGACCAGGGACTTCCTGGAGATGTTTTCTGTGTGGAAATCACAGGCCCTAGCTGACTCAGAAACCATGGGCAGATAGGCAAGGCTGGGTCCCACTGAAGGCAAGGAGTCACTGGGGTCAGTACAGGCAGGATTTCATCCAGAACACCTTCACTGAAGAACTCAGACTAGGAAATACATGAGCATTCTTCAAATGCAGTCTGTAATAATACTTTTTTATAAAATTAACTAGTCTCTTGATTGATATAAAAATACCATGAATGGTACTGAAAGCTATGAAAACTAACATGCTGTTACCAGCTATGTGTGAATTCAAAATCTGTGGTGGTATAAAGTTATTGTTTTACCTTGAGGTATTTTCTGAACAGCACAGTGATAATTTGGAGTGAAGCTTCTTTCAAGTTACACTCTTTAACTCACCATCCTGTTTTCCAGTTGCATGTAGCCATTTACTTTTGGATGCTTTAAAGATCACTTTACAACTCTGCAACCAGGGAAGATCTTTACATAGCCAGAGAAACATATTTGGATTTTTCTCACTACATATTTCCTAATACAGACAGTACCCAGCACCACAGGCAGCCATTGGACAGGGCTTGACATATCTCCAGACTACACACACCATCTGTGAGAACAGCTTGGGGTCTGACAGGAACTTGCAGGGTTACATTTAATAACATTTTAAATAGGAATGATCCAGAAAATAATGTTCTTGTTTTCTTTCCTAGCCCTGGAGCCACCAGGATATTTTAAATGTGGGTTTGTGTGTTCAGATTTTAGATTAGATTGGAGCTTCTCATTTGATCCATGTTGTGCCCCTAAGTGATGCTCATGAAGTTACAAACAAGGTATGAAACCTTCAAGCAACAGTGTGCATGAAGATGACAAGGAAAGATGCTTGTGTAGCACAATGACATCCAGGCTGAATGGCCATAGAAAAATTGGGATAGCAGGCTATATAGTTACCTGAGTTCTGTCAGGGACTGGGCCAAGAAAACCACTGCCCTGCTCCATCAAGCTATGCAAGAGCTGTGCATTCTATTCCAACAGAAACACTGCTGGCACTTTCAAGACGTGTGTGTAAGCTCTTCTGTACACAGTAAATAGCACAATGGAATCAAATGGAAAGAATTGTTATGAACTGAAGTTACTGAGGGAGAGACACAGGTCTAGCAGACCTTCAGAAAGATGAAAGGCCCAGGTCCCAAACAGATGCTGTAGTTGTGTGTACTGTACTTTTCACCCCAACTGCATCTTGAAATCAGGTGAGTTGTGCATAAGGTGTCTGAGAAATTAATCCCGCTTTTTATCTTAGAAACAATTTATAATTTCTGAATTGAGATTCGAATCATTATGAAAGATTTCTGTATTTTCTAGAAATGCAGTTTGCCATCTGTAGGGTATTTAGAAACTTTCTGTGTTGACAATTCACTACTAAGTGTGTGGGAGAGGGAAGTCACACAGTAGCATCTGTGCTTCCTGACTAGATGGCTGAAGTCATTAATAAAGCTGGATGACAACTGACAAATGATGAATAATGGATAAAAATTCTCTTGTTCACCCACAGATAGTCTTCTCTGATGACCAGGTGTGCATGCGTACAGAGACCGTTCCCTGCAACCATGCCAGGCTTGCAGTACCATTCCTGAATACAGAAAATACATGTCTGTAACTAAGACTGTTCAAAATTTGAAGGAAAGATTACAGATGTGCTTGTTTTTCTTTCCTCAACTTGTAACTAGAACTGACTCTCCTGTTTCCTCTTGAGCTCCAAAACAGAAACAGTTTGTCTCACCTCCTAATTTTTTTAGTGTCCAATGCAGTAACTTGGCTCATCTAAATAGGGGAAAATATTGACAGAAACTAAATCCTCCTCCTCCCTGCCAAATCAGCTGTCTGTTTGGAGACAGCCCTACATAGTCTTGAGGACCTTTGGTTGATGAACACTGTCCCTGAAAGCTCAAACAAGAATGAGCGTCAGAAGGGAAAAGGCTTTATCGACTTGTTAATATTTGGAGAAATACCAGTTGCCTATGTCTGATACAAGGAAAGAATTAGGATTCTCCACCTAGACAAATGCAAAGATGCTCATATTTAAAATAGCTAATTTTTAAAAAAACTGTATGTTTTCCTCTTATGCTTACACAGAAGAACCATGACAGTGAGCCCCCACCAATGCCAAGCTGTGCTGCGTGAGGACAGTCACTTGGTTCAGTCCCAAAAACAAGACTGCTGTGTCCACCAGAGGCTGCTGGTGGAGCTTGTATGCCTCACTCAGGTCTTCATGGAGGCACTTACCTATCTCTAGTCCTAGTTTGCTACTCTCAGCCATTTGGAGAGGCACATATCTTTCCTTTTCTGAAAATGCCCAAATGGGCGGGGAAACCTTTATTTTATAACCCTGTCTGTGGCAGGGGAGGGGTGGTGGTGGTGACTCCTTCTTTGTGTGACTATCCACTGATCACAGCACCTACCTCTGGTTTAGAAGCTCTTGGCTCTGTTCTCTTCTGAGCCCACTCAGGATGGACCCAGCACCCTGTGTTAGGCACCAGAAAAGAGTTAAGGATCATCAGACCAAAAAGAACAAGTGATGAGAGAGGAAAAATAAAAGTAAGGGCACAACCTCCTGTCCATAGGTTATCTGGGGAAAAGCCCTTCTGTGCTGATGGCTTTTGGGGTACTGAACATGACACAGTCATTCAGTAAAAGACATAACTATGAGAGTCAGAAACCTTAATTCTTTCCTTGTGGGCAGGTTACCTAATTATTAAAATGAATTTGTCATAAGCTGTAGTCAGGTTCTCACTTGTTTCTTGCTCTTCCTTTGAATCTTCATTGAGTTGGTGCAAAGTAAAATGGCATCAGAAGGAAATGTCATCTGTAACTGCACAGTGAAGGTAACACTCTCTGGAGGGTTAGCTGGAAATTATGTATCTTTTAAGTGTGGGGAAAGAGAGAAAAATTCAGAACATGTCTTTCTAATTCTTTTTCTTCCTGGGAAGGACTCTTAGCACTCGAACTTTGTTTTAAAGAATACAAAAAAAGGAAATGTAAGATGTAAGGAGAGTGTTTAAATGAAGTCCCATACAAATTTTTTGCAGTGAGCTGCTGTTTTCACCAGCATCCAGCACCTGTGCAGGTGCTATAAAAGTGCTGAATTGCTCAGTTGATTATTGATTATTTATTCTGGCTGTCTGATAAGTTTTCATTAATTTGTTAATGAGATCTGAAATGTGTTAGTGCTAAATCACTCAACCATCATGCGACTAATGTAGAATTACAGTTAAGCTTTTGTATCTTGGTAAACTTCATAAAATACTTTACAGTTGAGGAAAGCCTGGGAACCCCAAATGTCAAGATGTCATACTGTATTTCACTTTCTTTTAACATCTGATATTTTGATCTTTAATTAACATACTTTTTGGTATTGATTAATTAATTTGCATAGGAAACAACACCCCCATTTCCCACTTTAAAATAACCCCTGCAGCTCACACAACTATCCTTTTAAAAACTAGCACTGGACTGTACACTGTTAAGAGTAGAAAACTCTAAAAGACTACTTGGATGATCAGTGGCAACATGAACTTCAGGCAAGACCAATTATACTCTGTATCACTCTGAACCTTGCACTAAAAGCCAGTAGGCAGGCTCTGCTCTTCCAAACTTCTGCAGGTTTTCTGCACTGTTTTGTCCAACCTTTACTTAAGGGTCAAAGCCTCTGCTCACTCTGTCATCTCTGTAATTGTCTTCAACTCTTCAGGGAATTCTCCCTTTCCCAGGGCATTTATTTGTGCCTTCTTTTATATCTCTGACCGTAAATGTTTCAGGAACAGGGACTCTATTACTGTGCATTGACAAATAAACAGGCCCACTTACACAGAGAAATAAATTATTTAGTGGTAATTAACAATAATAACCTGGTTCTTCCACTCTATAATTTCGCCTTTCTAAGATGCCACCACTGTACCAAGACAATTTGACTGGTCTTTTGGATTGTTTTTTCATAAAAGAGGTGCAAAGAATTTGCTCTTTCTTCATCAACCCAAGAAATATTGTAATGTCTGTCATTACAAATACTGATCAGAAATTACTTTTTAATCAATTACTGCAGACAGAAATGGTTTTAGATGGTTTGATCATGCCTTGAAATTTGGGGAAAGAAGAAGTTCCTCCCTTTGTATTTTCTAAGATTGAATTGCATTTGTCTGGACAAAATATTCACAGACTCAGGGAATGGCTTTAAGACACTTGCAAGATATGTTGCTATGCTGTTGGCAAGGCACCAGTGCCTCCCCTTCTACACTCAGGCTGCTCTGGTAGATTTGCTACTGCTATTGCTACAGCTTGGCTGCTTATTGGTTCAATACTAAAAGTGAACGTGGTTAAATCAGTATGCAAATATGTGTGCTTTTCTTACTTCCATTTGACACTATGTAGCAGAGAGAGAGAGACTTATTTTTCAAAGCTATGTTTGCTGGACTAATGGCATTCATGCTGATAGAAACAGCAGTCCTGTAACTGTGTTGGTATGGCTGAAGAAGCATGAGTTAGACTCCTGCCTAAAGCCTATCAACAGTAATTAGACACTGTAAGGGTGATTTAACGATGTGTGATCATACTTATAATCACTTGCCAAAAATTGTGCCTACGTAGGTTTGGTAATCATTCAAAGACTGGTAGACAAAACTGATCACTCAATTCTTACTCCACCAGTTTGGCTGGAGGAACTCTTGTGAATAAACTGTAAGGATCTCAACTACTATTATTTAGTAGTCAGACTCTTGAATGCCACCTATGCAAACCTTTGGAGAGACGCAGAAGAGCTTTCTAAACTAAACGTGGATTTTATTGTGAAGAATATACCACAGGACCAATATTGCCTCTGGGGAAAAAAAAAAGTGATGCCCATATCCCAGTGCTTTTTTACTTTCACTTTTGTGTCTTTGTTTTTCTGATGTGTGGTTTTGGCCTCCTTTTTCAGACAGATCTGGTCAATACCATTGGGGAAAGTGCAGCTTTGGGAGCAGCAGGAGTTGTTCTCTGGGGCAGTATGAAATACGCCAGCTCAAAGGTAGGTCTTATCAGTTTATCAACATTTAGGAGTCAGCTCAATATCTCTTCTCTGCCACCACACCCTCCATAACACCTACTTATCTTTATCAATGTTATCAGCCAGCAACTGAGGAGGCTGGCTCAGTATTGCTTTCAGGTCTTGTTAGTTCTATACTTTTGTTAGGTTGAGAAGTCCCATTGCTCCAGAGCACATTGCTTCAGGCAGGTCATTTGTAGCTCTGTGTAATAATGAGTCCAGGTGAGAAGAAAGACATGTTTCGAAACAGTGCCATACCAGTATATATGCTGCTTGTTTTACTCTATTCTACTTTGTAGCTATGGCAGTTGTATAGATCCACTGAGAAGGAATGGAGTCTGGAGGCAGAGTATTTTCTCTGATTGCTAGTGTTGAAATCACACATAGGAAATAACACTGCCATAAGAAAAATCCTAGTTTCTGCTACCAGGTTCTTCAGGCTTTCTCAAATAATCCCTCTTGAAGTGATGGAGGAGATGGGAGCCTGCACTGGAGTTTTCTAGGAAGCATGGCAGTCTAGCCCCCGCTCACTCCTAAACCTTGGCTAGACTTTAGTGCCCACTCTGCTTTTCATGCAGTCTGCTGTTCTCCTAAGTCTCTGGCAAAGCACTGCTGATTTGGGCAGAGGAAGCAGGAAATCTGAACTGGAACTTTCTAGCTGCAGCTGCAACAACTTTTCTGCTCGTTGATGAAAATTATGTGGCTCCTGGTAACTGAAGGGGTTGGAGAGATCAGGGCCAGAGTAGTAATCCAATATGTGCTTGAAAACCTGTTAGTCCCATGCACTGCTCCTAGTTGGTAGTTACTAGGAATATCTACTTAAGGAACTGGTTAGTCTTAGATTAACCCATAAACTCTGCTTCCTGGGACTCATCCCTAGCCTAGTACTGTATGTTTCTACCAGGCACTCAAATAGACAGTATAGTACAAATCAATTTTTTTCTAATCTTGCACTGGAAGTAAGATCATTAAGCCAAATAGATCACTCCAGTATGTAAGTCCAACAAGATTTATCTCAACTGGTTACTTTAGCCAAGAACAGCTTAGTACTATCATCTTAGATATGATAACTTGGGTATAGTGCTAGCTACTGAGAAATATGTCATGGTTTTTTATTATTTACAGGAGAGCTGTTTAACTGTGAAACAGTACGTTGATGGACCCTTAGGACATTACATCATTAACGTGACCTCAGCAGCCAAACTCTGTAGTAAAGTCCTGTGCCAGAAGAATGGAAGGTGTATCCGTAAAATCAGCAACTCTTCTGCTTACCTCCATTTGTCACCCACTGATTTTAAGATCCGAAGCCATCACTCAGAGAAGGGCCACAGGTTCCAGGTGACTGGTGAACCCAGCCTAGAGAGTATTGAAGCCATGAGGCAGAGATTCGTTTGTCAGTGTTACCAGGGCTGGACAGGAATATTTTGTGAATTGCCTGACCAAAGGCTGTTGGAGCACTGGATTCATGTAGTGTTCAGTAGATCAAGAAAACAAAAGCTTTTTATCTTCCTCTTAGGAGCCATACAGCTTTTTCTGCTTTGTTCCACACACTAAAGTCTTCTGAGGCAGTGCAAGGAAGTAAGAAATGGTGCCTCTAGGAGTTCTGTTCCTTGGCAAATTTTTATTGTACAGGGAAAAGGCATTGTGGATTAAATGATTTTATCCTGTTTTATTCTTCTCCCACTCCTGGAATTGCTTCAGACACTAAACATTTTGAAAGCAGATCCCTTTTTTTTTTAACAGCTCCTTTACTCCTAACTCATGTTTTACTCATACATTCAACAGATGGTTCTGCAGCGGCAGTGAAACTTTTTACCAGAGTAAAAAAGTTGGACGAAATTGTACAAAGATTCAACCATGTAGAAACTTTAAAAAAAAAGAACATAGAACCTCTTCATTTCAGGGCTGGGTGATTTTCATGGTGATGAGGAAAGTCTTCATGTAGACTAGAGATCACAAACTGTTCACTGCAGCTCTTGCCGAAGTCAGGTGGCACTTTGTGTGAGCAGCAGCACTGTGCCCAGAGCCACATCCACCACAGCTCACTGATCCTACTGCTTCTGCATGGGCAGTGTGAAGAGTATGGAGTCATACATCAGCACACACTTTTGAAATTGTATATTTCAGTATTTTGAGGCCTAATTTGACTCGTTACTTCTAGAGGTTTTTACAACGCCATAAGTTTCAAAGGTACCTTTGACTGAACATCTCTGCAATTCCTTTTAGGTGAGGGGCTCCTGAGCTCTGAGAGCAGCGCTGGCAGCTGGCACCCCACTGTGCTTCTGCCTGGGCAGGGAATGGTGGAGTGCTTCTCTGCTCATTCCGAGCCCTCGGGAAGGAGGCAGCCTTGCTGCTTGGCACCCCTGCTGCCTTTGGAGCTGCTGCAGGTCTATGCTTTCCACTGTCTGGTCAGTGACTGGGAAAGAGGAACAGGCTGACAGATCCCACTCTCACTGTGCATCTCCCTGATGCAGGGCAGGAGAAAATGAAGAACTCTGTTCATTGGAATATTTTGGCTTGCAGCCTTCAGCTGCAGATGGGAACCTCTTTGAAGGTGGTATAGCTTAATGAACTACTGATTACTGGTTAATTTAGCATCCATAACACATCATACTGTCAGACTGTGGCACGTCCATTTGCAGTTATTCATTGGTTCACGTTCATGTGTGAACAAATGTGTTTTCATCAAAGACCTCTCTGTCTTCCACACAGCCTTTTGATATAACAATGGATGCTTTCACTGAATTGAAGACAAAGCCAAAACATTCCCTACATCTCTCTGACTTATGGAAGATACTAAAATGATTTTCTTTTGAGGCTTTTGTATGATGCATTGAACTGAATATTGTTCCAGATCACAGATGCAGACATTAATAAGAAACCCGCATATGGGTCTAAAACTTTTTTTGGCTCTTACCAGTGGCTGTATTGATCATCTGTGGCCTGACTACATTGCTTACAGTACATAGAACCCTATTGCTGTAGCAGTTTGATTAAGATCAGCAAGGCTATATGGAGAGAATACTCAACTGAGTAAAGAGGTCTGAATCTGGCCCTAAGTCAGGCTCCCTTCTTGATACTGCCCTAAATTACTTTAAACATTAATATGTCACAATCGATGTGAAATGTAAAGCTTTGGTTCACTCAACCAAACACCCAGCTCACAAAATATCTGCAGTGGATATGTTAATGCTGCAAACCTAGACACTGAAATGGGACTGATTTCAGTCAAACAGAGACTTAGTGCTAGCTATAGTGAGTCACTCTGTAATGATATGTGCTGAGAAGCTACACGAGAACTTTTGCTTTGCAATGTGTAATGACAATAGATGACAGCACACTTGAAGATAAAAAACTTCATTACTTTGGTGTGGGAGAGAAAGGATTAAAATTAAAGTTTAGAAAAATGGATAACTATTAAGGGGCCTACACCTTTAGACAGAAGTTATGGTGTTTACATTTTAAAATATTTTTAATTGATTTTATATATATCTGCTTTAGCTCCTTCATTTGGTTCAGAGGTTGCTAAAATTCAATTACACATACTTCAGTATCTTGAGAGCATAGAAACAATTAGCCCAGTTTTGCTAAATACCTATCACCAATGTAGGTCTGTATTTAAAATGGATGCTTCTGTTTTGTGTAATGCTGTCCTGTGTTCTGAAACCAGAACTGATGTGAAAACAGTGTAATGCTCATGCAGTGTGTCAGTGAAATGTGTTTATAAAATGTTCTGTGCCACTTTGTAATGTGTTTTCATTATATCTGTAGGCTTATAAAAATAAACAGCATAGTGACATATACACAATTTATTTGGGTAGCATAAATTCAATTAAACTGACATAAGGTCTTCATCAACTAAAGTTCTGCTACTTTGTGTGAAGTTTATGCAAACTATACAAGTGCTGTGGGTGAAGTATCAGTGTTCCTGATTCAATCTGTTGTGTATATTCTCTATTAGGGAATAGCAGTAGAGTCCTGTGCAAGTCTATAAGGCTCTGTCAGTTTATGTCAGGTGTAAATTTGCCCAATGGCCCTTCTTTACTCATTAGGTTACCGCTTTGCACAGAATAGTGCATGAGTGTCTGTGGTAGTACATTTACCTGGACCCAAAGGTGTTTTAATTCGGCTCACGGATTTCTGTGAAGAACTGCAAGCCCAGTTCTGTATCCTCATCACTAGATTGTCTTATGTAGAAGACAAAAATCTGAATTTGGTCTGGGCTTCTTAATGAAGGAACTTTAACTTCTTAAAGAAGTACCTAAGAGAATGTAATTTCATGTTTGTTTTTTTTTTCTATTTCACCTGGTTAGAGCCCTTTATTTTGTAAAAAAAGTAAGATTTACCATAAGACAATGTCCCTGGAAGAAGCGTATTTGGAGGTAGCCCTGCTACATACTGAGGCCAGGCAGAGGTTGCACAAATGCATGTAAGTGCTCCCACAACTTAAGTGCTCCCGTGTGGGACCACTAACTATACCAGCCAGTACCAAAGTCAGGATGCTTTTGATTCCTTAGCTCCACGGGTGACTATACACTGGGTCACTATACACTACCAGCACACTGTAGTGCTGCATCAGTGCCCTGTACCAGGGAGAGTGCAGGATAGGATCATGCAAGGTTGGCTGGAACCTAATGCTCAGCAGGAACATAAAGCACGCACCACTTTGCATGTACCACTGTTGTGGAGAAATGTGAAATATAGTCTAAACCTTGGTAATAAATTTTTACTTCCTGTTGCCATTAAATTAATACAAGTCTTCAAAATAAACTATGGACCAATCAATTCACTTAATCATGTCTGAATACTGAAACAAAATTCAAGTGAATAGGCTTTCTTGTAAAGCCCAGCAACCTCAAAGGTAGGGAAAATCCTTTTATTTTCTTCTTTTTTTTTTTTTTCTCTGGTTCATTGGTCACCCCAAACAGGTTATATGGTTCAATATTTGGAGACACATGATCCAACTTGTATCTGTGGTAGAACTCTTTGGAGATGGGAGAGTTTGAAGCAGCAGAGAACCTTCATGATGATGTCTATCATCTAGAACCGGCTCTTAAACCATAGTTGGTCCTGGGAAGTAAACATTGGTTTCCGGAGACAACAGCAATAGGGGTTTATATTATTTATTTATTTATTTATTTAGACCACTTCTGCTTCAAGATGATCATGGACTCAGACCCCAGTTCTTCCTAAATGCTGAACTGAAGAGTATTCTAATTAGTTGAGGATAAACAATACCAAAAGACTGGCAGGCTTTCAGCTTTTCTCAAATTCCCTGATTTATTATTCAAAAATTTTGAAATTTGGAGAAATGTTATGCTCATTTCCTTTTTCTCTCTCACCACAACTGCATGTTGCCCTTAATAAAATGTTGTATGTTCTGAGTAACTCATAAATGTATGGAAAGGCTGGGATTCATTTTGTTCCACTTCAGTCTTACTGGTAGATGTGTGGGGCTGTGGTTCCCACTTGACCAGTTTTAGGTGTCCCGGGCATCTTCCTCCTGCTCCCAACCTTTCCTCTCACTCCCATCCCTGTATCATAGTGTGCTGTCCTCTGCTTGTGCTGGCACAGTTGTTCACAGGCCCTTGCCCTGATCTGAGCTGGGAAACCATCCAAGTCAAAAGTTCCCTTGTTAAAGAAAGGGTGCTTCCCCACAATGCTTTTTTTCTGAAAGTCAGAATAATTCCTCTATCTGACTCACATTGTGATACTTATACAGTTGAGCCATGGCTAAGGAAGTGGACAAAACCCACAAGGAAGTGGTAGCAAAGCCATACGCTGAGTATTGTCACTCAAGACAATAAAGTGAGTAAGTAGCCTTGGTATGTAGTTGGCAGCATCGGTCATGGCTCATCCAACCTACACCCTGGGGTCTGTGTGGCAGAGGAAGGGTAGGGCCTGGCAGCCTCTGCCCTCCTCCCATCCTCCATGGGGGACAGTGAGCAGCTCATCATTCCAAGGGGTATTGCCATGTCAGGGCATCTGCTGGACTCCCTCAAAACTGAGAGCTCCTTGCAGTGATCAGCCCAGACCTCAGTGCCTCACCAGATGCTAAAGCTGGGGTAGATAAAACTCTCCTGGTGCGGCCCAACTCAGGAACATGGGTATTTAAGGTTTTCTGAAGTACCCTTTTGCCACTGAGTCTTTAAGTTGAAAAAGGACAAGTAAGGCTTGCTGGTTGAACTTTTTTGTGTTTCATCAGCTTTTTCCAAATGCAATGTTCTCCACTAGGGTCAGTGGCTTTGTAAAAATGGGAATGATACTGTTGTTTAAAAAGGAGCTAACAGCTCTCACAGACAAAATCAACAGAATGAAATCTCAGACCAGTTTGGATTTGTAATGCTGCACATAAATAAATATGTGTGTGCATTTCTTCCTTTAAAACTCCCTGCTTAAATAAAAAACATGTTGCTTAAATTAAAAGTTACACCAGTTTTGCACTGAAAGAATTTGTTGTAGATAGTGAATTAAACTTGCACACCATGCATAATAAGAATACATAGGAAAAGTTTTGCCGAAGAAACTCTGATATGCTTAAGATGCTGTGGCAG